TGGCAGGTGCCTGGAGTCCCAGCTACTAGGGAGGCTGAGGAAGGCGAATCACTTAAACCCAGGAGGTGAAGGTTACAGTGGGCCGAGATCATACCACTACACTCCATCCAGTCTTAACAACAGAGCAAGACCTCGTCTCAAAAAAAAAAAAAAAAAAATTAAAACTTTTGTGAATCAATCAAAGGAAGAAAGATGACGACCCACAAAATCAGAGAAAATATTTGCAAATCATATGTCTCACAGGGTCTAGTGCCCAGAACACACAGAGAACTCAAAAAGACAACTCTTAAAAAATGGGCAATGGGATTTGAATAGACATTTCTCCAGCAAAGATACAAAAATGGCCAATAAGCACATGTAAAGATGCTGCATATCACTCATCACTAGGGAAAGGCAAATCATGATGAGATACCACTTCATGCCACCACTGCACACCTAGCAGGATGGCCATAATCACAAATGTGAAAACAAACTGGCAAGCATGTGGAGAAACTGAAGCCCGCATATACTGCTGCTGGGAATGTAAAATGATGCAGCTGCTATGACAAAGTCTGGTGGTTCCTCAAAAAGTTAAACACAGAATTACCATGACCCAGTAATTCCATTCCTAAAACGGGGACTCAAATAGGTATTTGCACACCAACATCTACCACAGCACTATTCCCAAGAGTGAAAAGGTGGAAACAATCCAAGTGCACATCAACAATAGAATGGATAAACAAAACACAGTATAGACATACAATGGATTATTCCGCCATAAAAACGAATTAAGTTCTAACACAGCCGACCAAAACATGAATCTTTTTCTTTTTTTTTTTTTTAACATGAATCTTATAAATATTATACCAAGTAAAATGAGCTAGACACAAAGGGACAAATACCAGCCAGGCGTGGTGGCTCATGTCTGTAATCCCAGCACTTTGGGAGACCAAGGCAGGTGGATTACTTAAATCCAGAAGTTTGAGACTCTACAAGAAATACAAATATTAGCCAGGCATGCACCTGGCTAACAGTCGCAGATACTTGGAAGGATGAGATGGAAGGATCACTTGAGCCTGGGAAGTCAAGGATGCAGTGAGCTGAGATCACACCAGTGCACTCCAGCAGGCCAGAAAACAGAGTGAGATTCTGGGTCTCCAACAAACAACAACAACAAAAAAACCAAAAAGCTAAGTCGTCTTGGCTGGGCGCAGTAGTGCATGCCTGTAATCCCAGCACTTTGGGAGGCAAGGTGGATGGATCACTTGAGGTCAGGAGTTTGAGACCAGCTTGGCCAACATGACAAAACCCCGTCTCTACTAAAAATACAGAAAAATTAGCCAGCCATGTTGGCACACGCCTGTAGTCCAAGCTACCGGAGGCTGAGACAGGAGAATCATTTGAACCTAGGAGGTGGAGGTTGCAGTGAGCTGAGATCACTGCACTCCAGCCTGGGTGACAGAGTAAGTCGATCTCAGGAAAAAAAAAAAAAAAAAAAAAAAAAAAAACTAAGAAGGGTAAGTGTGGTGGTTCATGCTTAAAATCCCAGCGCTTTGGGAGGACGAGAAAGGATCACTTGAGCCCAGGACTTCAAGGCCAGCATGGAAACATAGTGAGACCCTAACTCTATTAAAAAAAATGAAAGAAAAAAAAGTGAGGAGTAAAAGACAATTTAATAATGAGAGAATAGCTACAGACAAGGCAGAAATGGCCAGAAAGTATTTGATTTTGATTACGGAGAAACTGAGCATTAGATTAGTAAAGTGGTTTGCCAGAATCCTAGACAGTATTTCATTTTGATCATGGAGAAACTGAGCATTAGAATAGTAATGTGGTTTGCCTACACTTTAGCAGATACTGGCAAGACCATGTCACCTTATCTTATGTAAGCAATTTGGAGTCTTAGACGGTGGTCTTAAATTTGAGGCAGGAATTCAGAATTCTTCCACTTGACAATGAAAAGCCTCTTATGATTACGATACAGGGATGGGGAAATGATTTCAACAAGGTTGTCTTATCTGCTGGATGAGATGATGCTACAGAAGGCTGAGTTTTACAGGAAAGGCAATGAAATAAGACAACTAGTGAACTAGCTCAAGATTGGCATCACAATAAAAGGGATACAGAAGTAAATACAGAATTTAGCACAACACTAAAAGTGTTGGACAATAAAAAAATTTTTGAGATTTCACACTTTAGTTGCTATAACTAGCTTATTACTAATCACTAACAGAAATACTGACGATAGGAAGACTGCTGATATGTGTGGGCAGGTAAGGCCTGATAAGCTTCAACTCTAGAAAGGTACCAATCAAGTGCTTATGGAACAGCTCTTTAATAGTAAGTATTTCATTTTATTTATTTACTTATTATTTTGTTTGAGATGGAGTCTTGCTCTTGTCGCCCAGGCTGGAGTACAATGACGTGATCTCGGCTCACTGCAACCTCTGCCTCTGAGGTTCATGCGATTCTCCTGTCTCAGCCTCCTAAGTAGCTGGGATTATAGGCACCCGTCACCACACTGGGCTAAATGTTTTATTCTTAGTAGAGAAAGGGCTTCACCACGTTGGCCAGGCTGGTCTCAAACTCCTTACCTCAGGCGATCCGCCCACCTCAACCTTCCAAAGTCCTGGGATTAGAGGCATGAGTCACTGCACCCAGGAGTAATTAAGTATTTCAATATTTATTTAATTAAATATTCAGCAAAAAGCCCAGAAGAGACATCGAATCTAAAGATAGTTCTGCAGATACCCAGAGGTACTGACTGAAGCCACTAAAACAAAGGAAGGTAAGAAAAAGAAAGAGGCTAAAGGGAAACAGAAAACAAATTTTTGTTTTTAAAGAACACATTCTTGTGAAAAGCTCCATAAACCTTTCGAAGCCACACCTTCCTACTGGCAACTTTTTTTTTTTTTTTTTTTTTTTTAACGGGGGTTTCCTCTTTTTTCCCAGGCGGGGGGTGAATGGGCGGTCTCCGGGTCACCCCAACCCCCGTCTCCTGGGTT